AAAAAGCGCAAAGTATATAAGACATAAGAAATGGAAAATTATTTGTTGATAACACGTATGTTGATGTGCTTGACTGAGCCAATATACAGTGTATTTTGGATGGAAAATTCATTTTGTATGCTTTAATGATGTATAGTGAATTAATGTAAAAAAATAAATTTAAAGAAAAAAAATACAGGATTTCCTACAGTGTGCCTCTCTGCATACTAACTTCACTGTTACATTTCTCCCTAATTGTCTGGCGGAGAACTATTGGAGCAGTTATTTGATACAGCTTACTTCTCTCGTATCCTACTCTCAAATGAACTGTCTGCTTGGTGGTCTGGCTGCGGCTGCTCTGAGGTATGTGTCATCCTCTAGGTCTATTGATCTGTCAGAAGCTCTCAGCCTGCCAGGCGTGGTGGATGTCGTGACTGCAGAACATCTTGGCGATGCAAACTCCTTCTGCCTTTTAACCATACCTGAACAATTTCTGGCAACAGATAAGGTACAGCCATTTTGCTTTTTGTTTGGAAAATAACTTTCTTAGCTAATAGCACTTCATTTTCTTAAAGGAAGCCTCTAATTTGGCATATCATAAAAGATTCCAATATCCTTTGAATGCTTATTTTCTTAAAAGCATTATTGTATTTAATTTTATTTATTGTTATTTTTTAACTTGACCAGAGAGAGATAGTGAGAGAAAGGGAAAGTGAGAAAGCAGGCTGCCAGGTCTGGGTTGAAAGCTTATTTTAAAATATTATATTCTAATATTGAATGAAGATATATTCATTTTCTATTTTATTTCCAGTAAAGAACTTAGCTAGTTTTTTTGTTTGGAAAATAACTTTCTTAGCTAATAGCACTTCATTTTCTTAAAGGAAGCCTCATAATTTGGCATATCATAAAAGATTCCAATATCCTTTGAATGCTTATTTTCTTAAAAGCATTATTGTATTTAATTTTATTTATTGTTATTTTTTAACTTGACCAGAGAGAGATAGTGAGAGAAAGGGAAAGTGAGAAAGCAAGCTGCCAGGTCTGGGTTGAAAGCTTATTTTAAAATATTATATTCTAATATTGAATGGAGATATATTCATTTTCTATTTTATTTCCAGTAAAGAACTTAGCTAGTTATAGAAAAGACAATTTGTTGTTTTGTTTTCTAGTAGTAAGATAGTATGGCTGCGGCTTGGTGGTTAAAGCAACTGGATCCTACGTGACGGCATAGTTTAGGTGCTGACTTGGTTGTTTAAGAAATGCACCCCACACACATGGGAGCAGGCCTAAAATCCCAAAAGGAGGAAGAAATGGAGGAGAAGAGATTGTGGTGTGACCATTCCTGGGGGAGGAGGGGATTGCTTTCTCATGCTTCCTCTCTCTGGGGAGTGCATGTGCCCTCTGCCCCTGCCCCTCAACAGATAGTATACTGTCAGTATGCTGCTAACAAGTAGAAAGAATAAATGAAGAGAGAATAATGATACCCTTATGCAAATCCCTCCCCTGAGGGTTCCTTCCTATTGCCCTGGTCTTGGTGTGTCTAGAGTTCAAGTTTGAGTTCAACTGGCTCCACCATGACGTTTTTCCTCGTCTCTTAATCCAGAAGTCCTCTCCCTCTCTCTCTGAACTCATTCTAATTCATTCATTCATTCATACTATGTTCTATGGGCACATTTACAGGGAGCATCCATTATGTATGGTCACCATTGTTGAATAATACATGTGTCATTCTTGCCCTCATAGCTTACAGTCTAGAGGCGATGACAAAGTGGACCGTTGGTGCACTTTCTACTTTGTAATTAGGTTATTTGTTTCTGTGTCTCACATTTTCCTTACCCAGTACAATTCTCGGAGTGAGGCCAGTGTCTGATTTAGGTGTTCTCCACACACTGCTTCTCACAGGGATACCATTGTTGCCATTTGAGAGTTTCATGTGATTGAAAGTCTGGCTACCGTATCTCAGGTTATAAAATCCAGCAAGGATAGTGTTGCACAGGTTTTCTGCCTGCCTTCGCAGTTCAGTATTTACCCCAAGGAGCAACGTAATTTGAAGCAGTTCCTACCTCTGTCTCTCCCTGACAGATTTAGTTGATAAAAAAGAAAGCCTGGTGAGTGAGAGTTTGAACTAAGTAAGGCTGAAACTCTCCCAGGGCAGAGCTATGTGACACCGCAGGGACAAGGAGCATGATGGCCTTTGCATCAATGTTAACCAACCAAGCACAGCTTTTCTGGCTGTGGAATAGTTCTGCTCTCTGAGATGGGCGATGGATGATGGGCATCCATGTCAGAGAGCAGAAAACACAGCCACTATAAATGAGTGCCTTCCTTGGTCTACTTCCTTTTAAAAATACTCATCTATAGTACTTTATGCCTTTTGAATATCTTTTCATTGTAAAAATTGTAAATGTACAAAAATAATGAACAAAAATAATGAACAAAAATAGAGTAGCACAAGGAGCCCATAGCCCATCATCCAGCCTCAACGATTATCGGTGTATTGCCTCCCGTTCTTGTCATTTACCTCTCCAACCCCAGCACCCATACTGGACAGACACGCTTTATGCATGTGTGCTGGATTGAACAGTTTTTGTTTGCTTGTTTGTTTTTCAGAGAGATTTTTGCTATAAGACATGTGTGCTTGCCAGAGAGACAGAAAGTGAAAAATCGCCCCCCAGGGGGATGGCCACCCGGAATTCCTTCTCTTCCATTCTTCTCTCAGGATTTTGGGCACACATGGACACGCGCCTGGTGTGAATTTAGGTTGCCAGGTACAGGATTTGAACTGTGGTTGACTATGTGGGAGTCCAGTGATGTAACCATTATGTCATCTGCTGGTCCCATGAATTTAACGTTTTTAAATACCATTTTCTTCTGTATGCACACTGTGAAGAAGATACAATAATCTAAATTAGGGTGGTTTTGTTTGTTTGTTTGTTTTTTGTCTTTCTTTCTTTCTTTTTTTTTTTTATCATAGGGCACATACACTCACCAAAAAGAGACAGTGAGAGGGAAAGTGAGGAATCCTCCTCGGGAGATGACCACTCCACAATCCCTTTTTCATTCTCCTCCTGGGATTTTGGGCATGTGTCCACATGTACCTGGGGTGATTTTCAGGCTGCCAGGTCCAGGACTCGAACTACAGCCAGCCAGTAGACTTTGAGTGATCAGATTTGAATTGTGAATCATGGCATAATGTGGGAGAGAAAGCTCAATAATTATGGTACTTCTTCTGGGATAGACTGTTTTACCCTTGAGTCCCAGTTTTTTCCCCCAGTTAACTTTCTGCCTTGGTCCCTGTGTGAGCTCCTTAGTCCACTGAGTCCACCTGATGGGGAAGCAGTGCTGGCTGCCAGCCCTCGGGGGAGGGGATGCTCTGTGCTTGATGTGTCTTGATTAGTACATCTCACATTTCTTCCTGAAAAGCCTGTGTTCCTACATGGTTGTGGGCAGAGCCTTGCTCACCAGGAATGCTGTGTTGTCCCAGGTCACCTCCTTTCTCTCTCCCATTGAGATGAGCTATGACTTCCAGGCCCTCCCTGTCCATGGAGACAGCAGCTGCCTCTCTCTCGAAATGGCCCATAGTCAAACTATGGCAAAGGCTCTCTAGGCAGCTGGTCTCAGGCAGCCCCACTGACTTGACCTGGAGCCCGAGCCTGCTGTACTTGAGATGGAATCACTCAGCCCTTCAGCAGCCATTACTGCCAATGAGACAGAACAATGATCTGAGCTTCCCCCCCCCACCCCCATGCCTGAGGTCAGCAGGTCAATTGCAGACAGAAAGGAGGGGGTCGTTTACTGTGTGTGTTGAGCCCTACACTAGCAGGGAAGAAGGCAGCCAACAAAAGGAGAGGACCCAGTGTCTGCCCTCTTGACCACAAAGGCCTCTGTGTTGTAGGTATTTTGCGTGGGTCATCTTGTCTGTGCCGTGATTGCCGACTCTGAAGTTCAGGCAAAGAGAGCTGCCATGCGAGTGAAGATTGTCTACAAAGACTTGGAGCCATTGATCCTAACAATTGAGGTAATGAGTTGGATGGTGGTGCCAGCTCAGGCGCTGGAAGAGCAGTTATCAGTGGTGCATTGGTTAAAATGCTTTGAGTACGATAACTGGAAACTCGACTCAAAGTGGCTGCCAAACCGCACTAGTGTTAGCAGTTTCCCTCAGGGCCTGGTTTCTTCCTACGTCTCACTCCTGCCCACAGTACAGGCTTCATGGCCAGTTCAGCTGATAGCCAAGATAACTCAGGCAAGGTTCTTTGTGTATGCTAAGAAGCTAGAGGGATACTGTCATCCCAGCATTCTAAGCAAGAGTCCTGAGATCCAGCCTAATTATGTCACTTAGGTGTCCATCTCTGAATTTATAAGTGGCCAGAGGAATGGAAGCGTTGTTGGTTACTGCTAGGAGTAGGAGGTGGGGTCAGATTTCTTTGAAGTTCATGGGCTATAGAGGAAAGTAAAGGGGACCTAAGTGGGTGTCTGAGCTGTTTGGGAGGAGGGAGGGGAGGGGAATGCTGGATGGGAAAGCAACAGTGTCTAGGACAGCAGAGCTACTCTATAACTGTGATCAGCCTCACCCACCCCCTTGAAGGTACACTAAGGACCTGCAAGATGTTCTATGAAGCAATATCAGAGACACTACTTTTAGATTCTTTAATACATATCTTAGACGAGTATGGGAAATCAATCATAGGATACCTGCAGGTAGTTTGGCAACTTAAATAAATTGGAGAATTGCATTGTCTATCCTAATTTTTAGAAAGAAATTGGAAATTTATAAAGGTTATAAGACTCCTCTCCATGAACTGATAAGGTGTTGTGCAAACATTCCATTGGTTCATATAATTGACTGACTAACAAAGAATGAAAGTTGGGGAAGGCGCACAAGTAGATTAGCTTCAGCACAAACGGACTCCTTGTACCCTGGGAATGCAATATTATCTTCACAACAAGGAGTAAGTTGTTCTCCAGGTGACTAACATGGCCCGAAGCAGAATAGGAGGAATTGAGTTGGCCAGGATTAGTGTCCGGGAGAACTTGGCCTTGGGTGTGCTTCCTGCCATGCTGCTGTAGGCTGGGAACACAGAGTTCATTCCGGAAAACTTTCTTTGGTGTTTTAAAATTAAAATCATGTCAAAAAGATTAATTGGAGTCTTAAGTGTGAGTAGGCCTCTCAAGTTTCTCTGGCTAGTTTTGAATATATCCATTTTGTTTCCTTCTCAGACCCCTTTCATTCATATTTTGCCTGCTATTCTTGCTTATTTCATATATTTCTTCCCCAAATTTTAGAGTTAAAATTACTTTTGATTAAGAAATTATTTACATAATAATTCATCAAAATGATGTTTATAATTCTCTGTCAAATACCAGTGTCCAGAGTCCACCCTTCTCTCCTCTCACCCTCCAGCCCAATAAAAGTCCAAATGAAAAAACAAGTACCATTTCCTCCTTGCCTTCCCCAGCTCCAACCAGCAGATCTCCAAACGTCTGCCAGAAAGCACCAGCCTCAACCACCAAAGGTTGGCATTCTGGAAAAGAGTTCTATTCTAACCAGAGTATAATCTCTCCAAGGTCATCAGCTGGATCAGAGTGTATTTAATCCAGTTTATACCACAACAGTATGTCCAGTTCCCTAAACATTAAAGCTCTTTTATTACTTTTCAAGAATATTTCCAAGATATCTCCAGGAAATTGGCTCACATTTATTCAGAGAAAAAGAAGCAAGCAAGTTGGAAAAGATTAAAATTTTAAAAATTGTATTTTACAAAACATTGTAGTTCACTCAGCCTGGAATATCTGAGTCTTGGATTAATAATAACAGCATGGAGTTGATTCCAGTAGGACGTATGTGATCAATCAAAATAGAACAGAAACGGCTATATCCCTGTCATTATCACTAAAGTCTAACCTGGCTTATGCTTAGAGTTTTTGGTAGTTTGAATGGAAAAAAATCTATCAAAACTCTTGGAGTGAGGCTAATGATAAATTGTGCTCCCCACCAGAATCACTCATCTTCATCATCACCGACACGACCGTAGGAACACCTTTACAGAGCTCAGTACATGGCTGCAAGCTCCTACCTTGGTTTTGTACATTAACTCACTGAAGGCTTACAATAATCCCACACAGTTAAAATGACTAGTATCCCCATTTGATGAGAAAATGGAAAGACAGGATTATCCAAGGTCACACAACTGGTCAGCAATAGAAGCAATCAACAAACACTCTGTCAAAGAACCTGGGGCCCCACAGTAACAAAACGAAGAAACCCATTTTAGAACAGAAGAAATGATAGGATCACAATAGAGCATCTCCGTAGAGTGTGTTGATAGGTCCAGACAGCTACCAGTGGCCAGAGGGAACCAGAGTTAGGCGAATCCCCAACTGTCCCCTGGTAGAAATTTAATGGATGCCTAATACCCCATGGGAGAAAATGCTAGCAGGAGCTGGCATATCACATTGGCCAGTGGATCCGTGGATCACAGCATGGTAAATTCTCAGAGAGAGGAGAAAGGAAGACCCTAATAAGAAAAGCAGCATAAACTACCATAGTAGCATCCTTGACTATCTGTACCTGTCCCTCTTCCCTGAGTGCCCAGAGGAGGGCCATAAGAGCCAGTGTGTAAGAGGATCTGTGGTGCCCAGGCAGGACTTGTAATGGACTCCAAATTCTAGCTGCAGGTCCCAGGCACTCTTCTGCCTTGTACAAATAAGTGTTCATCTCCCTAAAGGAGGAGTGAGAGGCCAGTAGGCAGAGTCACCATGACCCCAGTCATTGGAGTGTCTTCAGCTGGCATTATTGAGCACTTGCATGCTATGGAAGCTCTTTATATGCATTTTATTATGTCATCAGGAAAGTCATGACATACTTGTTTTTCTATGCAAAAATGCTTCATGACTTTCCCAACAACCCAAAATTTTGTCTTTACCACAACCACACTGGAGCTGTGTGCACAGCCTTTATTACCATTTTGCAGATGAGGCCTGGAGAGATGAAGTCCCAGGCCCACAGCTAAACAGCTTGTACGTGGAGGGAACAGACATAACTCTATCTAGGTAGGTCTGTAACCCAAGCTCTGTACCCCTGTGTCGTGTGGCCTTACTACATAAAATGAGTTGTGAATTGAAGCGAATAATCTGCCTGAGAAATATTAGTTCCATTCTGGGGTCACTGAGGTACCTGCCAGGATTTTTCTGAGCATTCTCAGTTTGTTTGAACTCCATGGGCACATTTGCCTTTGCTCCTCCAATCTCTCTATGGCCTGGTTGTTAGCTCAGCTCATCAGGGTTATGGTGAAAACGCATGGGATTCCAGGGCAAGAGGAGAATGGCTGTCCAGACTCGCATGATGTACCAGGTGTGGCCACTGCCACAGGCCAGGCCTCTGGCCAGCCTGCCTCACTTTTCTGTTCTCTTTCTAGGAAGCTATACAGCACAACTCCTTCTTCGAACCAGAAAGGAAACTAGAATATGGAAATGTTGATGAAGCATTTAAAATGGCTGATCAAATTCTTGAAGGTAAAACTATATGGGGAAAAAAAATGGAAGGGAAGGCTTCCCAAAAGCGTTCTAAGCATATTTAGTTTAACACCTCTTTTGCCTCTTAGAAATCATCTAAAGGCTTAGGTGGGTATGTTCCTCAGGAACAGGCACCTCATTTCACAAATGCATTTCCCTCTCTCTGGTGTGGGTGAAGAATGGGAAGGCAAAGTGGGAGGTGAGACCTTGCCCTCCGCAGTCCTTGTGTACCGACCACCTGCCCTCCTTGAGGCCTGGTTGTTAAAGATGTCATCTCCTTTCCTGTCCACAACCACTTTGTAAAGAGGCATTATTATTATCCCAATCTTGCAAGGTGAGAAACTGAGGCGAGAGTAATGATGGAGCATGACTCAGTTGGCCCAACCACTGGGGTTCAAAGCCCGCTTTGTCTCTTAACTTCAAAGCTATGTTGGACCTGAAGTTCATCAGAGGCTGCCAGGACATTGTCATCTAGAAGCTGTAGAAAGGATATTTGCACTGTCATGAGCTAGTTTTCCTGGATATCCTTCTTATTAGCCTAGTGACCTTGTCAGGGCATTTCTCAGAATTCAATCTCCTTTTAAAAAATTATATGGATAAAGTAAAAACAATCTCAAAGGTATATTATGAAGGTAATAAGAGATAATTGTGTGCTTGGCACAAAATGAGAGCTCAATAACCATGAGCAAAAATTTTTATTAGGTTTAGATGATTTTTTTTTTCTCTAGGAAAGGTTTTCTATTAGTGTGTTAACACTTTGGCAGGTATTCCTTTATTAAACCCAATGTTTCCAAGATTTTCTCATAATAAGAATCACTGAAAGTGTTTATGAGACCTCAGAATTTTTTGTTGTTGGAGAGATTTTTTTTTTTTTTTTTGGCTATAGGGTGCGTGCGCTCGCCAGAGAGACAGAGAGACAGAAAGCGAGAAATCACCTCCCCAGGGGGATGGCCACGCTGCAATCCCTTCTCCTCCATTCTCCTCTCAGAATCTTGGGCACTCGCGCACACCCGCCCAGTGTGAGTTTAAGCCACCAGATCCGGGACTCGAACCGCAGTCAACTACATGGGAGTTCAGCGACATAGCCATTATGCTAAGTGCTGAGACCTGAGAATTTTGATGCCCTTTCTTGGAATGCTGAAATTGAAGAATTCAAGGCTGTTATAAATCTGTTTCACCGAGTTTTTCGGGCGCTTGTCAGGGCTAGTAGAATGTAGCAAACAGTAAGAGTGGAGAAGGAGGGAGGCTACATTTTTAGCCTAAAGATTCCATAGCACGAACATTCTGGAAATATCAGTATTTCAGAAGCTCCTCCTCCCAAGTTTGGTTCTTGTCATACTAAGCTTTTGTGTGAAAATTCAATTATTGTATTTTCCCTTGACATCTTATTTAGTTATTTAATTCACCTAGGTAATTTGTTCAGTCTGTATTTTACTTGGGTTTTAACTTGTTACTGCACCAAACTTAATTGATAAATATAAATGACATGGGAGTCTTTGAAGATATTTATACTACTTTTAAGTTTTCATCTTCTTGACTCACTAGTCTATTTTTTTTTACTCTGCAGTTTTCATTTGTATTAACAGTTTTGACCAATTATTTCCATGAGAGTGAAATGAAAGTCATAATTGTAACACAATCATAACAGTATTTTGTCCCTTAGGAAGATAGGTGTCCAGTTAAAAAAATTAAATGATAAAATTGGCCCAGCTGCAAGTGACCCAAGTGGTAGGGCACCACAGTGTGTGAGGCTGGGGCCACATGGGAGGCTCAGGTTTGAACCCAGAATGTGGGTATGGTGGCATGAGCCTGTGATCCTAGCTAACTGGGCAGCTGGAGCAATGGGTTTTGATGGTGAGACTCACAAAACAAGAACCAAAACATAAAACCTATCTTTCTCCCCCACCAACCTCATTAAAAAAAAAAAAAAAAAAAGACAGCTAAAATAGCTTCTTACTTCCTGTCTTAGAATGTACTCCTGAAGAAAGCGGCATTCTTGTTTGTTTTCACCCACTCTGAAGATAGAGTTCAGCCCTCCCTGATCCTGACACCATAGTACTGGAAGGGTGCTAGAGGTCACCATTTACAAATAAGCCCACTAAGGCCAGAGAGGCTACATGAGTGACCAGGATCAAACCTAAGTTTTCCAACGTTGAAGTTAATGTTCTTTCCTCTGCATGATCCTGCTTCTTGTTTATCTATTTAGAATTCTGTTAGCTAGGATGGGCTTTACCCTGGAGAGTGCAGATGACAATCTCTGTAGCAGGATTTGTGAGAGACCTAGGAAGCCCTGAAACTGAGATTACTCTCCCCACAAACTGTCCTGTTGGGCATGGTATGGCTAGATGCCATCAGATCTTATTAGCTTTTTGGTCTTTAAGGGCCTCGGATTAAAATGTAAATGTGCCTGGCAGAATCACTTCTAAATCCATAGTGGGATAAAATTTTATCTCAGGGATTAGTTGATCAAATTGGTTTCCAACATAGAGTTGAGAGCAATACCACTGGGTGAAGAGAACACCACGACAGGGAGCCTTGGGGGGAGCAGGATGATGCAACAGGGTTCTAAAATGTTGCCTGTTTGACCTGTTTAAGAAGGAACAGCTCTAATTTTTTTTATCTCTGCATATTTTATTTTATTTTTTAAGAACTATTTTATTTAACTTCATTTATTATTATTATCATTGTTATTTTCCAGTTTGATCAGAGAGAGAGAGAGAGAGAGGAAGTGAGAAAGCAAGCCACCAGGTCCAAGACTTGAACCATGGTCAGCCATGTGGGAGTCCAGCGCCCTTAACCACCATGCCACTTGCCAGCCCCTGCATATTTTAAAGGAAGAGAGCATTTAACAAATTATGAGTGAATAGCAAAATCAGTAATATGGCATTTGAGCTTAGTGACAACAATATGGGTTCTCAGACTTTTTTTTTTTTACTAATTCTGAAATATTCTCTTATGTTTGTTTCTGTGTTTTTTCCTCATACATTTCTTTCCTGTGAAATGCTGTTTCTCCTTTTTGAAACTCCTTTGTTACCTGGCAACATTCCTATTTCTCCTGCAGGGAACAGTTCAAATATAAAGCAGACTTTACAAGCCTTTCCTGGTGGCCTCATCTAAGTCAATGGGTCCAGGACTCAAACTGCGATCGACTACATGGAAGTCCAGCGACATAGCCATTACACTGACTGCTGGTCCCAAGATCTGATTTTTTGAAATGTCATTACTTATATACATTTTACAAGTGAAGCAGAATCTGTTCATTCTTTTGTGCTGTTTCTTTATTCTGATTTTAGATAAGGTAGGAAGTCCAATCTCTAACACAAAATATGCAAGGGTCTTCTAAAAGTTCATGGAAAAATGGAATTATTGGATCATTGTAAAAGTCATGACATATTTTTTGGTGCAAAAATACATCATCAGTTTTCCAATGACCCAATAAAATATGAGTTTATTCTGGCGTATTTTTAAAAAATTTTTGCATTACTTTTTCATAATTTCACAAATTTTCTATAAACTTTTTGAAGACTCCTCTTGTTTTCTTGGGAAGCTTCCTCAAACAACCCGTGAATCACCATTATTTGGTACATTAAAAAAAAATTTTAGGGAACCAGCAGTTAGCGTAATGCCTATGTCGCTGGACTCCCACACGTAGTCGACCGCGGTTCGCGTCCCGGCCCCGGTGGCTTAAAACTCACGCCGGGCGCGTGTGCATGCATGCCCAAGATTCCGAGAGGAGAATGGAGGAGAAGGAATTGCGGTGTGACCATCCCCCCTGGGGGGTGATTTCTCACTTTCCCTCTCACTAACTGTTTAGCTTTGATGAGTGGATGCAACCTCTGGGAAAAAAACCTTTAAAAAAAATTTTTTTTAAAGGTTTTTTTCCCAGAGGTTGCATCCACTCATCAAAGCTAAACAATTAGTGAGAGGGAAAGTGAGAAATCACCCTTGGAGGATCGGCCACACTGCAATTCCCTCTCCTTCATTCTCTTCCTGGGATTTTGGGCATACTTGCAAACAGGTCCAGTGTGATTTTCAAGCCACCAGGTCTGGGATTCGAACCATGGTTGATCATGTGGGAGTCCAGCCCCTTAACCACTATACCACCTGCTGGCCCCCATGGTTTTAATTTTTAAAAGTTCTCATTTCCACTTACCATGAAGGCTGGTCATAATTATATTCTGTTTGTTCCGTCTGGTTTTCATTTCCCTCAGCCTTCCAATAGATTACTTGAACAGTTTTAGAATTCTCTTTTGACTTAACTATAGTGTTTTCAGAGTATCTCCTTGCATACACATTTTTAGTGGTAACTCTAGATATTACATTATGTGTAATCACCACAGTCTGATTGCAACATTTTATTATAGTTTATGTAAAGTTTAGAAACCTTTCCTCCTTTTATGTCCCTTAATGCTCTATTTATAATTAATTATTATCTTAAATATTTAATTTTGCTTCAAACACAATTTAGAAAACTCAAGAAGAGGACATTCTATTGTATTTACCTGTATTTTTATTCCTTCTGTTATTCTTTCTTCCTTCCTGATGTCCCAAGAGTCTTTTAATTTTTTAATAATTTCCTATTATTTGCAAAACTTGCCTATTTCCCTTAGCCATTATTTTAGGGTAAGTCTGCTAAAAACAAATGTTCTTAGTTTTTTTTTTCCTTCTGACACTATCTTTATAGTCCTTTCATTCTTGAAGGATATTTTCACTGAATATGGGATTCTCTTTTAGCACTAGAGAAACATCATACTACTTCCATTTCCATGGTTTCTGATGAGAAATTTGCTGTGCTCACAAGTGCTTTTTCTCTGTAGATAAGATAGTGTATTTTTCTCTCCCTTCTTTCTTTTTTTTCTCTTTTTTTATTTCTTTTTTTAATGAATTAATTTACATTCATTCACTGAGCATTGCACAGCATACAAAATGTAATTTCCCATCCAGAAGATGCTGCATAGTAGCTTAATCATACATGTTATTATCAATAATTTTCCATTTCT